ATTGATATTATAAATACTGTTGTTTATTTTTAGCGAAAAAGCTACGCAATGGACTATCTACCTCTGTTCAGACGAGTAATCTAACCCCGGATTCAAAGCGTTGTGTGTGTAAACTTACCGCCGACACATCAGGGACTATAAAGCCGAACTAGAAAATGTGGAAAGAGCAAGATGTGATATTCCTAATTAGGAGAATTTATTATCTATAAGTAAATCTGTGGTTATATACTACCACATATCTCAATCTTGCCTTCGTTTCTTCTGACCAATTTTATTAATCTTTTCTTAAACATGTTTTTCCAAAATATTTTTTTTAATTTAAATACATTTTGTTTTGCTTTTCAGATTAACATCTCACATAACAAGAATCGTTTTTAATTCATTAACATCGTGTATCCAGTTTAATATTCTATTTGCTTAGTTAATAAAGTGTTGTTATTTTTTCTACTTCACACCAAATCTTGTCCGTTTTCAATCAATTTACAACAATTTCTCACCTGTCCTTTCACATACCTGATATTGTGGAAATTAAATAGCAGTGAGATATGTTTATCTTTGGATGACCACATCTCGCTTCGATTAACCACATTTTAGTGTCATTGATCAGAACCTAATTATTGCATTAGTAGTAGTCGATTCCTGTGCTCCTTGTGTGGAATACCATCCGAAATATGTGTCTACCTTTTGGTAAGAACTACAGTAGAGAGGATGACAGCCAAACTGATCTGAAGATGCAACAAGAGGAACTCTGGTTGATCTAGAGAAGTCCTCTATTGAATATAATTTTTTCAGGTGTTCCATAGCTTTATAGTTGTTCTACCCCTGTTGTGACTAAGCTGTGGCCAGGTCCTTCCAGAACCATTATTAACGCACAGAATTCTTGAAAAGGTCAGTTGCGCCCAAGGACAAATGTAACAAAGAGAGGTAATTGGTGGTGGTTATGATGCAATCCCTTGAGGTAGTCTGTACAGCAAGCCACATAGATTAGCATCCAGTGCTCCTGGAGACCCATATTGGCTAGACCCCTTAGAAGTATACAAAAAAGTGTTGCAGTGGGTGGACAGTGACCAATGCCTCCCTCCCAGTAACGTGGCTAACATTCCAAACTATACGTGACGTATCCAGGATCAGTCAGCAGCTTTCTCTGGAAGAAATAAGAGTTGATGACAAGGACCTTGTGTTTGAGCAACTTAAAGTTGTAACGTTCACATGGTGATGCATCATTCTAGTGAACAAAAGTAGAAGTTTGGTATTTAAAAGAATCACAGCTGCAGATGAAGAGAACATGCTGCCCGTGATTAACACCCTCACGTACATGGACACGATAGTAATGATGACTTCCAGTCAAGACGGCTGTGAGTGAGAGATAATTCTTAGCAGTTAGGATGATTGTGTGATGTCGGTCGTCATGGCTATGATATCAACAATGAAGAGGAAATTACGTCCATTACTTTCTGAAGAGTCATTTGATCACAACAGCAGGTGATATACCAGAAGAATACTTAAGTTGGACGTTACATGAGAGTCATCTATATGCTACATAATTTTTAAATCACTACAGTATTTCCACTTTTCAAAGTTTGTCTTATGGCTCTCGAATAACATTTTCCTTGCTAATTCCAAATTTTGTACAGATTTTAATAGATAGAATTGTGCCAAGTTTTCGCAAGTTTTCTTTAAAATTGTACAAAATAAAAGCAACATAAACTATAAACATAGACGAGACATGATTAAAAAATAGAAAATCATACATGCATAGTTTAAATTTTACTAATAAACAGTTGTTTATAAGCACAAACATCAACAATAGCCTATCTGTGCTGTGCTCACTGTGGCTATCAAAACCGATGTTTAACGGGATAACTTTCATACTTATTGCGTAACCACCAGGGGGCCTACATAGAAATGAAAGTTATACTTATGGCCATGGGCGTCCGCAGAAAAAAAATTCCAGAAGGGAGGGGGCGAAGTTTTTCAGAGATGAGGCAAAGTAGTGTGAAATTGTGAATTAAATAAAAAATTCATATACATATATTGAATGAATAAAGAAGGAATTATGTTTCTCATTTTTTCAGGTGAGGCAAGTACCCCCCTATTGACTCCCCCTCCCCGCGGACGCCCATGTTTGTGGCTGGAATATATATAGTTGGGTATTTGTCTATGGTGTTCCTTACTTTATCTGCATATTCTGTGTAAGACTCCGCTGAGTGATTATCCCCCAAATGTAAGTACAGAAGGTCCAATAACACTTCATGTTCTCTCCCAAACATCAGTGATGATGGTGTAAAGCCTATAGTTTCATGTATTGCCGTTTGATAACTCGTAAGTAGCAGTGAAATATCTTGATATCATGCTGATGTTCATTTACATAAATTGGTAATTGGTTGAAAGTGTACAGTTGTATCTCTCTGCAATGCCGTTGGAAGAAGAATTAAGGACTGTTGTTTTGGTATTTTTAATTCAAAAGATCTGACATATTTCTGAAAACAAAGCTGATTCAGAGTTCCATCCCCGATCTCAGTGAAGTTTCATAGTCACCTCAAATTTTGAAATGAATTAACTAACGAGTTTCTGCTTCCTGGGTAGGAACAGCATATGCTTCTGGTCATTTGGTGAAATAGTCCTTCTCAACCATAATATTTATATCTCACCATTACTCTGTGGCCAAGTAGATAAACAGCAACTCTCTCAAGTGGTACTCCGACACAATACTGCTGTAACTGTCTATGATGCTTCTTTTAAGGACGTTTTTTACTCAGAGCATAATTTGCATGATTTACTCCAATATTCTATAGACCCAAGCACCCAACCTCGTAGTAGTATTATCTTACTCTCTCTCTCTCTGATGTCTGTAGATACTATGGAAGTACTAATTGGAGTTGTTTCTCTCCACTGGTATCTTTCCATTTTCGATATAACAAGCTCTATTGTAGGTATAATTAATCCCACTGTGCCTAGTGCATCTTTTTCTTTGGGCTGTATGGAGCAACCATTTGCCTTGAATAATTGTTTCAAACTCATATCTTTTGCCTTAGCATCTTTCAATCTGTTGTACCGCACGTATCATCATTTGGGATGTCTCATCGCAGTCTACACTTTGTTGTACTTTTAAGTTGGTTGTCTTTACTAACTCTGGCTGTCTTCTGTTCATAATGTCAGCATTTCCGTGGTTCTGTCCAGGGCAATGCACAATGTGAAAATTGTACTTCTGAAGTTTCTGAAGCCATCTTGCTATTTGGCTTTCTGTATTACAAATATTCTTAGCCATTTCATCCTATGTGCGCAGCATTTGTCTATTGGTCTCACCTGTATCTGTGAATGATTACTATAATTCCAAATTCACTACATGTATCTTGGCGAAATTTGGCAAGCTTATAGTAACATTACAAATAAGTTAT